CACAAGATGTCCCTGTCCTAATCCTCACTCAGAACCTGGGGATGTGTTGTATTACATGGCAAGAAGGAATTAATGTTGCTGATGAACTTAAAATAGGGATATGTACCTGAGTTATCCAGGTGGGCCCAATATAATCACAGGGGCCCTTTAAGGAGAGGAGAGAGGCAGAAGTGCCACAGTGATGTGAGGTGAGAAATACTGTTCCGGCCATTACTGGTTCTGAAAATGGAAGGGGCCATGAGCCAAGAACTGCAGGTGGTTTCTAGAAGCTGGAAAATGCAAAAAAAAAAATAATAATAAAAAAATAAATTCCCCTAGAGCTGTTGTCAGCAAACTGCAGTTCTCGAAACACATGTGGCTCTTTGGCCCCTTGAGTGTGGCTCTTCCACAAAATACCACGGCCTGGGCGAGTCTATTTTGAAGAAGTGGCGTTAGAAGAAGTTTAAGTTTAGAAAATGTGGCTCTCAAAAGAAATGTCAATCGTTGTACTGTTGATATTTGGCTCTGGTGACTAATGAGTTTGCCGATCACTGGCCTGGAACCTTCATATAGGGATGCAGCCCTGCCAACACCTTCATTTTAGCCCAGTCAAGGGCCAATTTGGACTTCTGGCCTGCAGAACTTTGAAATAGTAAACCTGTATTGTTTAAGCCACTAAATTCATTACAGCAATAAGAAACTAATACACACCTATTGAACATCTGTCACCTATCCTTTATCCCTGCTAAAGAAACAAGTAGAAAAAGAAAAAAGAAAAAAAAACACCTCAGTTGTGTTAATGTTGATTTGTGGTTAAGCTAGTACGTGATACGTGGTATCTTGCCAGCATCTGTCCAGTGGAACACAATTCCAGACAAGAAAGACTGGTTATATCCTCAAGTTACCGAATAAGTCAGGTCCTGCCACATGCACAGCAGATAGCGGGTTTTCTTTGAACGTGGAAATTTTACAGCAACAAGTTCATAACCAGTTGAAAGGGTCCCTGTGGAAAGGGGTAAGTAACCTTATTCTTTCGGGTATGGATTCATTCATTCTTTGAAAATGCAATGTTACCTATCAAATATTGTAGGTCTAAATGGTGCTTTTCATAATAGGGTATAGCAATCGTGCCAACCAATTCCTTTCCCCACCGCCAAGGAAGATAATGAAGGTAAGGAGATTAAACATTGCTTGGAGGAGACAATACAAGCCAGCCCTCATTTGGTCCACGCGACTGATAGTCAGCTAATGTAGTGGGTTTTCTAGAATATAAATGATGGCAGATCACACGGGCCTAAAGTACAGATCCATTAGTGCCTACAGATATTTATGTCTTTGATAATATTTTTCAATTTTACTGGTCATTTCTTGGCTTTTACTTGGTGGTTTCTTTTTTAAAATTTATTTTTTAATTTTTAAAAATATATTTTATTGATTTTTTTTTTTTTACAGAAACGAAGGGAGAGGGATAGAGAGTTAGAAACATCAATGAGAGAGAAACATTGACCAGCTGCCTCCTGCACACCACCTACTGGGGATGTGCCCGCAACCAAGGTACATGCCCTGGCCGGAATCGAACCTGCGATCCTTCAGTCCGCAGGCCTACACTCTATCCACTGAGCCAAGCCAGTTAAGGCTTGATGGTTTCTTAAAGAATTTGATCACAAGATATACTTTGTTGCTTATGAACTGTCACACTTGGTTTGAAAAGCATCTCAAAAAAGTCTTTCTTTAAAATTGAATAGCTCCTGCTGAATATTTAGAGAAGTTAAAACATTCAACTTCAATAGCCAATGGGGACTCTGTGTGTAAACATTTCTGATAGTGTACCCTTTTATCTCGGGTGTTGTATTTATTAACAAAGGCTATTTCTCTTTGGGGCAAATGTCAGACTTCTCAAACCTGCGCTTTGTTATGCCTTACAATGGATTGTTTTGCCCCGAAAACATCTCTGAAGTATCATAAAAGTTAAGAACAAACCTGACTCTGTGACTCTAAATACAACTTGTCAAGTATGTTTTTGATCTGTGCGGCAGAACCAAGTAATATGGTCTGTGAATAACAGGTGTTGTCTTCTTAAATGGATTCCTTTGCTGACTACAGGCCTTATTGCTTCTAAAGCAGGGATGGGGAACCTTTTTTTTTTTTTTTTCTTTTTTCTGCCAAGGGCTATTGGGATATTTATAACATCATTCTCGGGCCATACAAAATTATCAACTTAAAAATGAGCCTGCTATATTCGATCAAGCATGTCATTCATTAACTCACCCTTAATGCCTTGGTATGGCCAGACCAAATGATTTCACGGGCCTTATACTGCCAGCGGGCCGGACGTTCCCCACCCCTGCTCCAGAGTCTGAGTTAACGTTAGAACTGTTGTTACTTCAAAGAGCTAGACCTCAGCAGATGGAGTTAATTCAGCTAGTGAAGGGCCTGAGCGCAATTCTTAGAACATGGGCGGGGTGTGTGTGTGTGTGTGTGTGTGTGTGTGTGTGTGTGTGTGTGGCGGGGGGGAGGGTGGAGTGAGGGATCTACCTTAATGGTTGACATTTGGGATCCTGATTTAGTGCCTTCACCCCCGTCTTTCAGCTTCCAGCTGATCACATGAGCTATCCCCCCAGAGCTGGAAAAGTGGTTGAAATGGCCACTCCCCCACATTTCCGGGCAGGTAAAAAGCATTCATCCCATCAGGTGGAAGGAAGGTGGGTGGAGCCTGAGATTCTGGAGCACTGGAGGCCTGGAACCCGCTGTGGATGTTAGCAGTTGTGAAGGCCTCAGGCAACCTGTCCAGCATCCGACTTTGACAGGTAAGCACTGTCTCAGGGTCACCCCGTAACCCCCTCATAGCTGGAGAAGCCGCGGGCCAATGCAGGCTGCCTCCTCAAGGTAGAGACCTTCCCAGGCAAAGGAGGCTTCAGAAACCACCCCCTCCAACTCCTCATCCTACAAAAGCGGGCACAGGTCAGAGGAGTGAAGTGGTTTGGCCAAGGTCACCAAGCAAGTTGGCAAGGGAGCCCCCAAGCCAAAGTCCCAACCTGGGGTCCCCCCATGACTGGCCTCCAGGGGGGTCTGTCCATAACTAGCATTGAAGTCAGGTGTGGGCCTTCTGGCACCTCCCCCACTCTGCCCAGCGCTGCCCAGTGCGGAGGCCTGGCCTCCAGTGTGGGGACACAGCTGGGCAGAGCTGGGACAGCTGCGACGCCTGGATTTTTGTTTGAGAAACCAGCACAAAGGCAATTCCGTATCCCTTTATTTAGAAACAGGTGAGAAATGCTGAGTTCCGTCTGGGAGCGGGAGCGGGTTGGGAGCGGGAGCGAGAGGGGAGAGGGTTGGAGTGGGTTGAGGGCTGATTCCAGTGGTTTGCATGATTCAGCACCAGAGCAGATGCTTGGGCATAAGGTCGGCCTTGAACCCACGTAGTCATCGTCATTTTGTCTAATATATACATCGTCTCGGGTATGTATGCTCCTTATGGCTTTGTCCGGAACGCGTCGCAGTGACACAAACACAAATCTCGTCTCCAGAGGAGAAGGTGCAAATGCTTGAGCTTATGGCCAAGCGGGGGCCCCAGGCACAGGAGTGCCTCTGCTCTGTTGGGGCTCAGGCTGCCTCCCCATCTTGTGTCTTTCCCTGGGGTTTGGCTGGGTGTGCAAAGGAGGCCCGAAGATGGAGCAAAAGCAAATTCGAGCTCTTTCTGTCCCCCCCTCCAGGGCTGGGTGGGCTGCCTAAGGCGTGAAGCGAGATTGCAAGCCTGCAGCTGGGTCTCTTGCCCACCCAGCAGGCCAGAAGGTAGCACTTCAGTCGCGGGGTCACTCTTCTTGAGGTTGATTCCCTTTCCCTTCGTAAGGCCCTGGGACCCGGGAGCTGGCTTTCCACAAATGGCCGTTCGCTGTGACCCCGACATGACAGGCCCCCTTTGTGTTTAGCTGGTGGAAGGGTGGACGTCTGATTTCAGGGTTCCCAGCAAGAGGGGGTAATGGCTAATGGAGAAGTCCTGACATGGGGGGGCAAGGGGACTGAGGACCACACCCCCCAGGGGTACCCGCTGACTTTGGGTGTCCATGAAAGAAAGCCTACTTTCTCCACCTGTTGGGGGGAGGGGCGTGTGTAACACTTGACAGTGAGTGGAGAGCAAGGATTACTCTCTCATCCTTAACCCCTTCCTGGAACCTGGCCCCTCCCACAACCCCAAGTGGTGTCCTCAGTCTGCAGCATCCTTCCCTTTGCAGAGCAAAAGAATCCTTCCTTGCTTTTGGTCATTTGTGCTGACCTCCCCCAGCTTGCATCGTGCTTTGTACCTCCCTCACCGCAGCCTCCGCTCAGCGTTGGCCATTGCTGGTGACTGGCTGGCCCGAACAGAGCAGCCCCTTCTTGTCCTGGGAAGTGGGGAGAGGCTGAGAGAAACTGATGGCCGCAAAGCATCAAATGTTAGATTTCCTAAGCCCCCATCCCTCCTCCCTTCTCAGTAGTCTTGTCACCTTTGGAGGTGGTGTTAGCAGTCAGGAGAGGGACAGTAGTTGAGATTTAGAACCCGTTTGGGGGTCGTTTTGGCCCATCTCTGGAATATCTCCAGCATGGGGCATTTCCCGTCATTGGCAGCTAGGATGGCACTGAATCTGAGTCACATGAGTGGCACCTGTCAGTAGGGGATGTGAGGCCTGCAGACTTCAAATCGGCCTGATACATCAGCCCCACACTGTGTGCTCCAGAGCAGGATTCGGGTATAAAGTGGGTCTCTCTGCCCTGGGCTCTCTCCTGTCACCTCTTTCCCTTCCCTTGTTTCTCACCACTTATCTCGCCTAGCTGGTCTTCTCTTCCCGGCTGAGTGTCGCCCAACCGCAGCAGTAGGCACACGTGCCCGGTTTGCCCTGAGTGCGTGGCTGAAGAGAGAGACCCACTGGGTCTCTAGGCCTTGACTGCAAAATGGAAATGTCTTCCCCGGAGCCATGTTCCTGACAGCTCTCTGTCCCACAGGCGTGCGAGACAGATCTCTCAGGGGAAATGCTAAGAACAAGGAGGTTTCAAGCCAGCTTAGCTTCATGGCGAGCAGGGAGGTAGTTCAACTCCAATGGGAAAGACTCCCGCCTTCCTTCTCCGGTGGCCCCACTTGTCACCCCAAAGGCCAGTCCCCAGGGCCTCTGAAGAGGGGTGTTTCTGGCGCCATATGCTGGGCTCGGCCTGCAAGTTGCCGGTTCAGGCCTGTCTCTGGCTTTACTGGCACAGCCAGGCAATGCCTCTTCTGCCCCAGCATGCGTGTCTACACCCGGACTCTGCCTGCTCACTTCCTCCCTGTGCACGGGGACAGTGACTTCAAATAGCTCAGCAGGAATGCTTAGGGTGGGCATCCCGTTTGGCAAACCTAGGGCCAGGGGTAAGCGCGATACTCCCTAGACCACTGAGATGCTCCCTAGACCACTGAGATGCTCCCTACACCACTGAGATGCTCCCTAGACCACTGAGATGCTCCCTAGACCACTGAGATGCTGGGGTCAGAACTCAGGTTCCCACAATGCTCTGCGAAACTCCTGCAGAGCCTCCCTTCACTCCAAACTGTCTGATGGGTGGCCATGAGAACCACATACGAATTTCCTGGCTGGTCCCAGGCACGTCTACAGGAATCCAGGATGAACTTTTGCCAAAGCGCCCAACTACCAAGAGACCCAGAGAGTTCTGGAGACCAAGGGTTTGTGAGAGGGAGAGCAGGAGAGGTGTCTTTTTCGGGTTGTATGTGGTCGGCACCCTGGATGGCATGTTATCGAGAACAGACGGGTGCAGGTAGCACCCCCTGTTGGTATCCTATGTAGTTTGGTTCATGGAACTGTTACTTGAGGTCTATGAAACTGGGAACTGGTCAGAACTGGGGGCGAGCCATTCCAGGAGAGTTACCATCTGCTAACCCTGGGGCCAAGGCGGGGCGGCCCCACTGGCCAAGATGGTGTTCTTTATTGCGTTTCCCGCGGCTGAAGGGAATGGGGAAACACAATGAAGTCCAACCAATGGTGGAAGAGCACCACCCAGAGCACAGTAGGCCTTCCGTGGTGCTCTCCTTGTCAAGACAGTCCCTTGAATTAAGAAATCAAGGCTCACGGTACGTGGCCTTTTATAGATCTGGCCTAGAGCAAGCCTTGGGGCGTGCACCCCATTTCCAGGCCTGGAAAGAACGGATGCATTGCAACGCTGGGCCTCAGTGGCTGCACTGAGAAGGCTGGCATTTGCCTTGGACGCAACGGTCTGTACTGGGGACGGGTGAATTCCGGCAGAGCTTGGGTGGCAGGGGGCAACGTGCAGGGCCCTTAGGAACCGGAAGTAGCGGGTTGAGGGAACAGCCGCTTCCACACATGGTGTACTTGGTGGGGGTAGGCGTCAAGACCAAAGCAGGGCGCACCCCGCTGGGTGCGAGTCTCCCGGGGTGCTCTGCATCTTTCCCTTAGCAAGGTGAAAGGACAGTGATTCTACATGATGCTAATGAAGTTTATAGGTTGTCCAATTGGAAACCTTCATGCAGGAGATTGGACTGCGTGGAAACTCAAGTCTCAACACCTCCCCGGGGTCTCCCTGCTAAGCTGCAGCTCCTGAGCCTCTCACCCTTCAAACACCCACCACCCAGGCATCCCCAGTGTCCCCGCCCCCCTCCCCAGCCCGTGTGGTGTGGCTCCTCGTCTGCCAGCCGCCTTTACTTCTCATCCTCATCCCCCTCGCTCAGGCTGCTGATGGAGGCCGAGGCAGCTTTGGGTGAGGAGGGAGGTGAGGTTTTGACCGGGAGCCACGAGAAGGTGGGCGACGGGGAGCGGGATGGAGACCGGCTCCTGGTGGGGCTGCTCACGGGGCTCTGCTTCGGGGACAGGGCCTGCAGCATCCGGCTACTCCTCTCCTGGAACATCTGTTTCTGGAGAACGAGAGAGAAGCATCTGTTAGTCACCCGAGATCGCAGCGAAACTGCAAGGAAAGGCAAGGAGAGCCCCCCCCCCCCAGCGTCTGCACCCCCACATGGACTTGTACTCCAGCCTGTGTTGGCCAAGACACTCTCTGGGGAGGAGCTGCGTGAAATTCAAGGCCAGGGAGCTGCTGACACCTAAGGGCACCGCCACGGCTGGTTCCTGGCACTCTCTCCTGCGTGCCCTCTCCTCCATCTACAAAAGCTGTGTGAGTATTATTCGCCAGGCAAACAGCAATGTCCTGGATCTCGGAAAGGTAGCAGGAAAGAAAACCAAAAACCCCAGTCCTCGTGGCTATAAGGAGGCATCACGCACACAAAATCAACGTAAGATGAAGGATGTCAGATGGAACCATAGTGTGAGAAAAAGAAATGGACAAGGAAGGAAATAAATAAAAAAAAAAAGAGGGATGTGAGCATGGGGACAAGTGGGGTGCAATTGCATATAGGGTGCTCAGGGAATGCCCCCCCCCCTCCCCGGAGAAAGTGCTATTTGAGCAAAGACCTGAAAGAGATGAGGGAAATTAGAAGGAAGTACAGTCCAGACAGAGAACCCGAGAAGGGAGCATATACACTGAGTGGCCAGATTATTGTGATCTCTGAACGCATAATAATCTGGCCATTCAATGTATATGATCCTCTCTAATAAAAGAGAAACATGCAAATTGACTATACCTTCCCTATGCCCACAAGCCATGCCCACCAGCCAATCAGGAGCTAATATGCAAATTAACCCAACCAAGGTTGTGGTTAATTCGCTTATCCAGGCGGAGAGCGGACAGCATAGAAGGAGCCAAGTGCTGCAGAAGGGATCAAAGCTGCAGAGAAGCAAGCAGGGTTGTGGAGACTGGAGGGAAGCAGGTGGAGGCGTCAGAGAAGGGAGGGAAGCAGGCAGGGTGGCAGAGACCACCACAGGAAGCCCTATTGCAGGAATCTTCCTGCAACAGGCCTCTAGTATATTATATAATAAAAGACTAATGTGCAAAATTTCCTGTTGACCAGGAGTTTGACCAGCAGGCAGGCCGGCCAACCACCCATGTTCCCTTCCCATGGCCAGGCTGGCCGGACCCCACTCATGCACAAATTCATGCACCAGGTCTCTAATATATACATACATATATACACACACACACATACACACACACTCTCTGAGTGGCCAGATTATTATGCATTCAAAGATCATAATAATCTGGCCACTCCATGTAGTTCACCTTCAAAGGGGAACAAGGAGGCCATGGCGGCTGGAGTGCAGTCACGTGGCTGAGGAGGGGTATGGAAAGAAGGGCATGAGGGCGAGGTCGCCAGAAAAGTCAAGGCAAACTATGCTATGCCAGGTCTTGGAGGCCATGTGAGAATTTCAGCCTTTACTCCGAGGAAAAGAGAAACCTCTGGAGAGTGCCTTTACCTCTAGAGTTCTGAGCAAAGGAGTAACAAACTGGCCAGCCTGAATGCATGTGTGTGTGTGTGTGTGTGTGTGTGTGTGTGTGTGTTCATGAGTAGAGCACCAGGAGGTGAATGGATTTCCCCTCCTGAAAAGCCCCCGGAAGGTTTTAGTCCAGGGTGGGGTATGATAAGATTGGTGTTTTAGAAATATCTTTGGGTGTGAGCATAAAAGGAAGGAAAGAAACTATACAGGAAAGGAATTAATGTTTGGCTCTAGTAAACTTCCTGAACCTCAAAAAAGCCACCATGAAATAAATAAAAAGCAAAAGAAAAAACTGGAAAATGTTTGCACCATTTAACTACAAATTATAGATCTTAGTATATAAACAAAGCTTAAACATCAAAAAAGAAAAAGAAGGTAAAAACCTTCATAGAAAAACGAGCATACGGCATATACAGGCAATTCACAGAAGACTTAAAAATGAACCGTAAAAAAATGTTCGGCATCACTAGTAAACAAGCAAATGCAAAAATGACTGAAGCGAGATTTCTCTTTATATATCAGACTTAAAGATGTTTTAAACCTCCCAACTTCAAACAGTTGTTTCCCAGATATAGTTGACAGATGACTTCAGGCTTCAGAAGCTTAAGGCATACAGTTCTGTGTTGTGGCATGTTTGCAGTTAGCATGCTCTGACTTCTCAACATGTTCTTATGTGTAATTCCTACAAGTTTTTCTCTTGTATTTACTATGAGGCTTACATAGAATATCTTAACGTTATAGCATCCTGTTTCGCACTAATGACTTAGTGAAATTCCTAAACTTTATGCTTTCACTTATCCCCCTCACATTTTAGGTTATTGATGTTACCGTTACAATATTTTTATTGTGTAAACAATAGTAGGTTATTGCATTTCTGGTTATTTTTACTACATTTGTTTTCTTACTTTTAAATTCGAGTTGTGAGTGATGCATCACCACTATCATATTACAGAATCTAAATTTGATTAAATATTTATTGTAACCAGTGAGCTTTATTCTACTTTCTCTTGGTTGTTGTTTTTTATTGGGGGTGGGGGTTGGGGAGGTGAGAGAGATAGAGGGGAGGATTCAGGGTTGTAATTTAAAATTGTTTACATTTTGTTTTTATCTATGGAGATCTCAAAAACTGTGGCTGCTCAACCTGTGTGGCTCAGTGACTGAGCATCAACTTATGAACCAGTGGATCATAGTTCGATTCCCAATCAGGATACATGCCTGGGTTGTGGGCTCCATCTCCAGTGAGGGGCATGCAGGAGGCAGCTGATCAATGATTCTCTCCCATCATTGATGTTTCTAACTCTCTCTCCCTCCCTCTATGAAGTCAATACACACACACACACACACACACACACTCTGAGTGGCCAGATTATTATGATCTCTGAACACATAATAATCTGGCCACTCAGTGTATATCCTATATCAGTGGTTGGCAAAATGCGGCTCGTGAGCCACATGCAGCTCTTTGGCCCCTTGAGTGTGGCTCTTCCACAAAATACCTCAGCCTGACCGAGTCTATTTTGAAGAAGTGGCATTAGAAGAAGTTTAAGTTTAAAAAATGTGGCTCTCAAAAGAAATCTCAATCGTTGTACTGTTGATATTTGGCTCTGTTGACTAATGAGTTTGCCAACCACTATCCTATATAATAAAAGGCTAATATGCAAATTGTTCCCTCGACCAGGAGTTCGACCAGCAGGCAGGCAGCCAATTGGCCATGTCCCCTCCCCCTGGCCAGCTGGCCGTACCCCACCCATGCACGAATTCATGCACTGGGCCTCTAATATATTATATACTAGAGGCCTGGTGCATGAAAATCCATGCACTGAGGGAGGTGGTCCCTCAGCCTAACCAGCCCCCTCTCATAGTCCAGGAGCCTTCAGGGGTGGGAGGTGACCCAGTGATCAGGGGAGGTGATGCCCCCATCATAGCTCTGCTGCTGCCATGGCCGGCAGCGCAAGCCTTTGCTGGCCCTGGTTAGCTGAGCTTAGGGTGGCCCTCAGCAGTTGGGCAGCCAACATCCAAGATTTGCCTGTGCCTGGGTGGCTGGGGGGCTGAGGGAACTGGGGACTCCAGAGGCAGGCACACGGAGTGGCTGGATCTGCTTGAGCGCCACCATCTTTGAGGACATGGCAGTCAATTAGCATATTCCTTCCTTATTGGCTGTGGGCACTGCCACCTTTTGTAAGGGTGTGGCAGTCAATTAGCATATTCCCTCTTTATTAGATAGGATATACACACTGAGTGGCCAGATTATTATGCGTTCAGAGGTCATAATAATCTGGACACTTAGTGTATATTTTAAAGACTGTGGCTGAGGTTTATAGCTTTAAGTTTGTCATCTGGGTTTATATGATATTTCCTAACTAATAGTCACTAATGAGACACCTGAGAAACTCAGGCCAAACAAAAACAGCCTAGAGATTTGGATGACATTGCAGCCATCCAACTCATTGATAAATCCTTAAAGCTTTAACCCTTCCCTTTTCCACCCCTTCCCACCACCCCTCCCCTTTGCAATGCCCTCTTCTTAAGAGACGGTTGGTGGAATTACTTTGCCTTGGAGATAATGGTATAAAGATGTACCTTCTCATATGAGTAATGCTGATTTATCTCTATCCCTGGTCACTTGCTAGCAGTCTGCATCTCATTACTATTGCAGTAGTTCTGCCTCCCAAGAATAACCCTCTAAGGAGGATGATATGTATACCAGTGAATCTAATACCAGGCATTCATTCTTATTTTTATCATCATATAATAGTTAAGTCATCCTTGAGTGTACTGTATATACTCCCCTCTTCCCCTCTGGCAACCATTAGCTTGTTCTTTTAATTTTAATTTTTTTTTATTGATTTCAGAGAAGAAGGGAGAGGGAGAGAAAGAAACATCAATGATGAGAGAGATTGGCTGCCTCCTGCATGCCCCCTACTGTGTATCATGCCCACAACCCGAGCATGTGCCCTGACCAGGAATTGAACCGTGACCTTCTGGTTCATAGGCTGACACTCAACCACTGAGCCACATCAGCCGGGCAAGTTGTTCTTTATGGGTCGGTTTCTGTTTTATTGTTTTTAGATTCCCCATATAAGTGAGATCATACAATATTTATCTCTCTCTAACTTATTTCACTTAGCAAATATGGCAGCAGGACAGGCCCTAGGGCCTGCATGGTTTTTGTGTGGGAACCTGAACCAGGCGAGACTGCACTTAATTCCATGACTGGTTGGGGCCACTGGTTTTGTTGTGTAGAGAGGGAGGGACGTGGGCTGTGTGCTCTGTTGAAGTGCCACAGTAGGCAGGGCTGCTGGATAGGCTATGCAGCTTCCTGTGTGTCTCATTAGGTTCCCTGCTTGGGCAGACTGAAGGCTGTGTTCAGAAATGGGCAGAACCAAAACCGGTTTGGCTCCGTGGATAGAGCGTCGGCCTGTGGACTGAAAGGTCCCAGGTTTGATTCCGGTCAAGGACATGTACCTTGGTTGTGGGCACAACCCCAGTAGGGGGTGTGGAAGAGGCAGCTGATTGATGAGTCTCT